TTTTTTTTTTTTTTTTTGGCACCAGGGATTGAACTCAGGTCCTTGCGCTTACACAGCAAGCAGCGAAACCACTGAGCTAAATCCCTGGCCCTAGATTTGTTTTTTATCAGATAACTTTATTTATATTTGTTTTTAATTGAAAATAATTTTATATATTCATGGGGTACCATGTGGTATTTTGATCTATGTATGCATTGTAGAAAGATTCAATCAAGCTGATTAACATATCTCTCACCTCCCTTACCAACTTATCGATTGTGTTTTTTTGGTACTGGGGATTGAACTCAGGACCTTGCATTTGCAAGGCAGGTGGCAGAACCATTGAGCTAAATCCCCAGCCCACTTATCAATGTTTTTTGGTGGCAAGAATCTTAAAAATCTACTCGTTTAACAATTTTGAATTATACAATATATTATTAAGTACACACAATGCAGTGTAATACCTAAGTAAAACTTATTTCTCCTGTCTGACTGAAACTTTGTGCCTTTGATTTGATTAATGTCTTCCCTATTTCTATTCATGTGCTTTCTCAACAGTTTCTGGGGAGGCTTTCTATTTCTATGAGATGAAATTGTTTAAATTTCACATGTAAATGCAATCATACAGAATTTGTCTTTCTGTGCCTGTTTTATTTCACATAGTAAAATGTCTTCCAGTTCCCTCCATGCACACATGACAGAAATTCCTTCTTTTAAAGGCTGTGCAGTATTCCATTGTGCATATGTGCTACATTTTCTTTATTCATTCATCTGCTGATGGATGCTCAGGTTGCTACCATATTTTGACTCTTGTGAATAATACTGAAATGAACACGGAAGTGCAGATATCTCTTCAACATACTGATCTCATTTCCTTCTGATATACACATAGAAGTGGGGCTGAAGGATTATGTGGTAATTTTACCTTTATTTTTTAGAGAAACCTCCATGTTGTTTTTCATAAAGGCCTTAGTAATTTGCATCTCCACCAACAGTGTACAGTGGTCATTTTTCTCCACAACCTCACTGACATTTTTTGTCTCTTTATAATAGTGATTCCAATAGATGTGAGGTAACATTTCATTGTGGTTTTAATTTGTATTTCTCTAATGATAAGAGATATTGAACATTTTTCATATACCTATTGGCCATCTATATCTCTTCTTTTGAGAATGTCTGAAATGCTTTGTTCATTTTTAAACTATTTTTTTTTTTTTGCAATTGAGTTGTTAAATTCCTAATATATTTTGCATATTAGCATTTTATCAGATGTGGAGTTTACAAATATTTTCTCTTGGTCTGTGTGTTGTCTCTTACATGGATATCCAGTGGTCCCAAAATAATATGTCAAATAAATTGTCCTCTTCTCATTGTGTGGCACTTTTGGCACTTTTGTCAAAAATCAATCGGCAGTAAATTATATACTTGAGGTAATTTCTGGGCTTATTATTTCCTTCCATTGGTTGATATATCTGTTTTTAAACCACTATAATGCTGTTTGGATTATAATAGTTTTATAATATATTTTGAAATCAGAAAATGTGATGCCTTCAGCTTTGTTCTTTTTGCATTCATTTGTTTTCAGGGTCTTTTCTGGTGCTATCCAAATTTTAGGATTGTTATTCTATTTCTATGAAAAATAACATTGCAGTTTTGAAAGGAATTGCATTGAATCAGTAGATTGCTTTGGATATTATGAGCATTTTAGCAATATTAATTCTTAATTCTTAATTAATTCTTGTGTGTCTTTATTTTTTTCACTTATGTTTTATAGTATTCATTGTACAGATCTCCTTGATTAAAATAATTCTGCTTCTTTTATATACCACTGTAAATGGATTCATTTTCTTAATTTCTTTCTTGGGTAGTTAATTGTTAACATGTGGAAATG